CTGCATACAATGTCAATGCATTAAAATTCAAAAACACACGATTAGTCCTGTTGGGAAGTTCCCTTCGCCCGATAAACGTTTTCAACATGTTCATTTAGACATAGTCGGTCGCCTACCACCATCAAACTCCCTCACGTACATTCTTACAGTGGTGGATAGGTTCACAAGATGGGCGATAGCATACCCTATCTCAAATACGTCTGCAGAGACAGTTGTATCTGTATTTCTTGATCGGTGGATACCAAATTACGGAGTACCTTCAATCGTCTCTACAGACCGTGGTCCTCCGTTCTAGTCTATCCTATTTCATGAATTTACAAAACTTCTGTGTGTGAACCTTATCAAAACAATAGCCTATCATGCAGTAGCTAATGGTCTGGTCGAAAGGTTATACCGCCAATTAAAAAGCTCTCTGATGGCACAGGCTGATACGTCAAAGTGGAGTGACGCATTAGCACTCGTGCGCCTAGGAATCCGTTCAAACATGAAGGAAGATATCGTTTGCACAGCCGCTCAGCTAGTTTACTGTACAACTCTTACATTACCGGGACAATTAGTAGATCCAGACACATCAGAATCAACTGATCCAAGTAGTTTTGTTAGTCGACTTCTACAAACAATGCAAAGGGTGTGGAGATATGACTGACAAGCTTATTTTGTAAATATTATTTGTATTTATCTTGTCAACCTTTCATTGTATGTATATTTATCATTAAATGTTTGTACCTGTTGTCTTAGTAAATGACCTTGAACACTTTTTCCGTTGTGACATACTGTTGCTGGCTAACAAATACACTACTACTCACACATTCCTCGTACTATCTTCGTTCGTGATTGAATTAACTGTAGTCTAAACAAATTTCTTCTTCATTTATAGATTGTAATAGGAATATATCATATCCTACGTTGGATTATATCACTGGAGAGTTCGTCAACACGTTTGGAATTATCAAGCATTTATAATTGTGGATTTACTGTACCGGACAAAAGCTGAACACGTATCATTTTGGTAAACTTAAGTGAAGTCCCATTTTTTATTGTAATTGTAACATTTAACTGGTATATATTAATATTTATATTGATCTTTATTAACTTTGTTGATACTTTTTGCGTTTATACATCGTCTGGTCCACCACAAGTGTCAAGGCAATATCGCCGCGAGAACATGATACTCAAATACAACTTGACAAAAGCCTAGAAACGTGAAGTTTGTCTTCTTTCGAGTTAGCGCTGTTAAAATGCCACTGAAACAACCTTACGACAGACCGTACCAAGTAATTAAAAGAACAAATAAACATTTCATAATCAACAAGTGCAGAAAGAAGGAGACTATCGCTATTGCTAGGATAAAGCCAGCTTTCTATGAAGCGTAACAAGACAAAGAAGATAGCACCGCAGTCAATCGACCCCTCCCACTAATCACTACTATAATAGAGGAGGATGAAAAACCGAGCATCAAGACTACTTACTCAACATGTTCAGGCAGGACTGTAGAGAAATTCAAACGTTATTTACATTTCGCTGAATGAAAAAACTCAAAACAAACAATCGGTGGCACATATTGCACCGTTAAATTCACTCAATTTTCCAATGAAATCTACTGTTTCTTTTCTTTCCACACGTGTATATAATTAATCACATTTTTCCACAATCACCTGTTTTATCATATTTTTTGTTACAAACAGTGTTACTTCCGAACAGTCTGAGGGAGCTATGTAGAGATAAGCATGACAAATGTATTTTATAAATAATTTTTGATGTACACACACAAGGGTCTATTCCGGTATAATCGACAACTCTTCGGAGTCAAGACGGTCCCATCCGTATTTCAGCAATTTATGGATACTATGTTACAGGATTTTCCACTTGCTGCAGCTTATCTGAATGATATAATAATTATGGGAGAAGATAGAATAGAATATGAAAGAAGCTCCACCGGGTGTTGTCGCGAATAGCCGGATATGGGCTTCGGCTTCGCCTAGAGAAATGTAACATTTGTATGCTAAAATTACGTTACCTCAAATTTACAACCGACAAAGATGGCAGAGGACCAGATCCAGATAATATCCAGGCAGTGAAAACTATGACAAGACTGACGGATGTCCCCACACTACGATCCTTTTTGGGACTAGTTAGTCATTATTATTCCGGACCTTTATCAACTAAATGCCCTCTTAAACAACCTTCTGGAGAAGAATGTAAGATGGGATTAGTCTGCAACTCGTCAAGCTGCATTAGATAAAATCAAGAAAATACTAGTCTCGGATCTATTGATCACTCATTATGATCCATCCTTACCCACTGTAGTAGCATCAGACGCTTCAAACTATGGCAGTGGAGCAATTATTTCTCACATCATGCCAGATAGATCTGAGAAAGCCATATCACATGCGGCTAGATCGTTAGCTTTAGCAGAACGTACCCATAGTCAGATAGAGAAGGAGGTATTTTCGATTATCTTCGCTGTAACGTAACTTCACAAACCGATATTTAGACGTCACTTCACCCTATTAACTGACCATCAGCCATTACTAGCCATTTTTGGGTTGACGAAATGTACACCGGCATACACGTCAAACAGACGGCAAGGTTGGGGAACTACATTCTTGGGTTATGACTTTGAAATCAAGTACCTGCTCACTACTGATTTTGGACAAGCTGATGCTTTATCTATACTGATTGGTTCATAAGTAAGACAGGAAGAAGACACTTTGGTGACAGCAATCGACATGGAAACATGCGTACTTTGAGTATTGCAAGACGCGATCGATGGTTTACCAGTCACTACGAAAGTCATCAAAGAAGTCACTGAAAATAACAAGACTTTGGAAGTTAGTGGTTATCTTCTCACCAAGTGGCCGAACCGTCATTTTCAAGGAGAAATGCTACAGTATATTCGCCGAAGGAACTCACTCATGATGTTCGATTCATGTATTTTGTTTGGTGACAGAATTGTTGTTCCAAAAACATTACGCTACAAGGTTCTGGGATAATTCCACAGAGGTCATCCTGGCATCAATAAGATGAAAGCTTTGGCTCAAAGCTACACATACTGGCCTACAGTGGATCACGATATCGAAACCAGATGCCGCAACCGTTCATCGTGTCTGCAGGCAGCTAAAATTCCAAAGAAGTGTGAACCGCAACAATTAGAAAAACCCAATAGTCCTTGGGAGAGGCTGCATGCAGATTTTGCCGGTGCAATACGAGGAAGAATGTATTCATTCATAGTAGACTCCCTTACGAAATGGCCACATATCTACGTAATGGTAAGTTGCACAGCCGGTGAAACAATCAGCAAGTTATGCGAACTATTTAGCTGATTTGGTGTTCCGGAGACTTTAGTGACCGATAACGACTCACAATTCACTGCAGAGTCATTCAAGGACGTCTGCAACATTAATGGAATTTTACAGATACGAAATCCACCCTATCACCCTCAATCAAATGGACAGGCAGAGCGCTTCGTGGACATATTCAAAAGAGCACTACTGAAAGGGGAAGGAGAGGGGAGTTATGAAATTGTGAACAGCTTATAGAACTACGCCGAACCCTATCATCCCAGATGGAAAATCTCTTGCTGAAAAGATGTTCGAGAGAAGCATCCGAAGCATATTCGACGTCACGTTACCATCAAAACCAATGGATGGACGCAGAAAAAATGAGAATATCTTGAGTAACAACGTCGGTGATAAAGTGCTCGTCAAGTCATACACTGGAAAAAATCGTTGGGAACCGGGAGTCATTGAGTAGAAACATTATATTGGCGTCGTGAGCAGGATCCTATGATGGAACGGTTGAAAGTATTTTCAGATTTTGATGCTTTCGAGTATTACTTTGAAAGGTTCGAAATCTGGGCTGTGAGCAAGTGAGATGAAGAGGATGTTAATATTGTGGCACATTTCCTCACATTCATCGGAAAAGAAGTACACAGCTTATTAAAAACTCTAGCTTTACCGAAAAAACACATTTCGCCGTCTTATACAACCCTGAAGGAACTGCTGCTAGACTATGTTAAGTATACAATTTTCGAATGCGGTAAAGGAGGAAGATTTCATAAAATGATTCATGAGGATATAAAAAATTCCAATACATTATCACGTCATCCCAATCCAGTGCATACTCAGGGTTATGCAGATTACAATTCGTTGAGGAGTTGCGATGAAGTTCACGAAGATGGGCACAAGTTTAGTCAATTTTTATCCAGTTGCAGGTTCCACTATTTTAATTCATGTAAATTTTGTAATTCCAAGAGCTTTTAATGTGGTGATATTGGACATATTCAGTCAGTCTGTAATACTAATGTTCATCTTATTGCAACTAATAATAAGTGTTGTAATTCTGATTCTATTAAGTCGAGTATTTATAATGATGATTTATTCTCATCAACGATTGCAATAGACAGTGAAGATTCATATAGCAGTTCAGAGTTAAACGAAACTCAGAATCCTTGCAAGACAACAGTTTCTAATCAGTCAACTTATCAGATTTCTAATGTTATTGTACGAGATATGGTTTCTTTACTAATGATTCACATATTTCTGATGAAATTCCTTGCAAATGTGAGGAAAATATGTTGAGTGAACCTAATCATGATCGAAAACCTGATGGTGTTTTGATAGATGCTGATTTCGCTAATGATCCTTCACTTTGCAATGACATTCTTAATAAATTTGATGAAAATCATATCGGAAATTATCAAATCTTGATGTCATATCAAATATTATTTGTGCTCATAATGCATTTGTTGCTTGTGGGAAACTTGTTCAATGAGATGCACAAGTACTAAATGAGCTAGAGTTTGATTACAATCCGGATGATTCCATGTCAACTGCTGTTTATCCTTATCGCAAAGTCACTTCTAATGTTTACTCTAGTCAATGTGAGAAATATGTTTTAAATGAAGCCACGTCATTCATATCTTGGGAATATGAAGATCCAACATTATTTCTTGAGGGAGGATAGTGTTGGAAAATCTATGGTTCAACTTCTAAATATTAATGATTTCAGTGAGAAACCGACATGCTGATTGTATACAATTGCAGGAACCAGGTGAGTCTGTTCCGATTTCGGTTGTTAATTCCAATACTAATGAGCACATTCTAGATAATACGGAGTTTTCATCCAACACACTGTCCGACAGACACAGGATGAACTTAAGAAGACGTACAATCGATTACAGACAATTAGACTCTAATTTAATCTGTGGCGGATGTGGTGTTTGAATGAACTAATGATTTCTTTGTACTTGTTGAATGTTTGATTTCAAATTTCAAATACAGTACATCCTAATACTTCTTGATCCAACTACGTTATTTGTGGGATTCTTAGTTCGTACTATAATTCAAATAATTGGAAACATTATATATAAGCAGCTCCACCTGGAGCCTCTCTGGGGCTGCTGCCGTTCCCAAGCCCGGATAAAGGAGGAGCGTTGGATACTGGGTCGGCGACTCCATGACGTGGAAAACTAATTCGCTAAAAAACGCTTATTAGAAAAAAAATTATTCATACTGACGCTACTTTAACATACACTTTAAAACTATCTTTTTTAAATAAGAAATGTGGTTCGAAATAAATGATCAAATCTATACGATTTACTGTACAGTAATTTATTAACATTTTCAAACAATCTATTGTTCATCTGTAGATATTTTAGGGAAAAAAGAAATAAAGCTAAACAATTTTGAGAAAAAAATCGTTATGACAGATAAGCACTTTATTCTTGAATTCATCAGAGCTGTTAACTTGAGGAAATGAACAATATGACTGACTTGGTTTACGTTTGTTAGCTTTTTCAACACTTTATGCAAGTTGTGTTATCAAGTTACATGTCGCAGTTGTGATATCGAAGTCTTCACAATGAACGAAATACAATTTTTATTAACTGTACTCATCTGCCAAACCAGAACTAGTGAATGAACAATAGCACAGGAGTCCACTTATTCAATAGCTGCAATAAGTTCATTCACTGGAACAACAATACTGGGGCGATGTTAATTATAACTGTCTAAACAACAGTAATAGAAGAAAACGGCTCCAATCCTTCGTTGGATATTCACTATGACTCTGGATTCCAAAAACAAACTGCAAATCTTACACGACACAACCTCAAACCAGGTTACAATATAGTGATATTGGAGCCAGAAAACGGAGTGTTTTCACAAATAAACGAGATAAATTGTTCAATAGCTCGTCTCCTTTGACTGTAATCATCTCAATGTATTTATGAATTTCCACATCAAGGGTATCAGTGTGATAGATGTGTGTAGCACACTACTAAATAATATGATCAGTGAGACAGTATAAGTAGGCTATACTTACTAGTTAGACATATTTTAGTGGCTTACAAAATTCATTTAATTTAGATGAATAAATATGAAACATTTAATGCAGATGTTCAATGATTAGATTTCTTTGAAGTTTTCAATGTTCAATAAACGTGATTCAGCCATCGAGTTAATTATTATGTAGAACCTGGTCTTTATGTACATCGATTCAAGTTGCCATACCCCATTAGCACAGCGAGCCGAAATTGTAAGGACAAATCCCAACAAATATCACAGTTAGTATCAGTATCAGTCGTAATAGAAAAGATTAGGAATGGAATGCACAATCATCGGGAGGAAATAATTTCCAAATGATTATCCAAATCAGTCAAACAGAAGTATATAAATATATATCGTGGATTTTGACCACACTTTTATGTCTATTTCCTAGACACTAATCGATCATAATATGATTTATATTACATTAACTTTCAAGTTAGATTATTGTGATGTTTCAGCACTCTCATGGAACTTTCAGTGAATGAACTTATTCGTACTCTTCTAATAACATTGATGAATTTTTTGTCCGAGTGAAATCTACGAACTAAAGAAATTGATATCATTCTGTTATGAATGTGGAATTCGCTATTCTAAGATCTATAAGATGGTAGAGTATTTTTCCCTGTATTTAATGATGAATGCAACTGAGATTACGATACACTTGAATTTTCCCAATGACTTCAATAAATTAATTGCTTGAATGTATATACATTAGAGACATATTCCTGCAATACCATAGAATACTGTGCATTATCAATGGAACTAAAGTATGTTCTTAGTGATTAAATGTTAATTATTCTTACGATCAGAATATGAATATAAAACTTCGAATCTAATTTTTGTGTTACAAATTGGATACTAGACGTATCTTGAATATCAACCGAAATTCAAATAAAACTCTTTAAATTGTCTATGAAACGGCGTATTTAAAGTGAATATATCAAACATCAGCACAAATTAGATTTTCGAGATGTGTCTACTATATATCTTTCGAACATAAACAAATGATTATTCTTATATTATTATTACTATGTAATACTGTCTTTTCTTTGAATGTTTTGTATATTCAGTCAATAATGAGGCAAAAATTCATTTCATACATTATGTGTTCAAATCAGTTTAATAGTCTGCTCATCTGAGAACAGTTTTTTGATAGATATTTGTGTATATAAATCCATAGTTTACACGTTACCATAGTTTATAACCTATGGAATATTAAAAAGAATAAATTTCTGGTTTCGAATATTTAATTTAGAAAGAATGATAGTTATGTTAATGTGTATTATGTTTTAACATGAAGTCCAGTGATTCATAATTTCTACACTGAGTAAAAGTAACAGTTTTGGAAACTTTAACTCATCATCAGTGTTTTGTAAAAGAAAATTCCAAATATAATGATAAGCTTAATTATTCATACCTGTGTAGTTAAACATTTCTGTATCATTTGAACTTTGATCGTATTTCGTATAAAGTCATCTATTTTGCCTAATGTGATATTGTCATGTCATTAAGATACCAATGATTTCAATTTCTCCTGACCTTACTCATCAAAATGGGACAGTAAAAAGAAGGTATGCTTACTCAAAGCCGCCCACCATTTCGTTCCATCGACCTTAGACAGCCTGGTACTAAGCGACCATTCCGTATTTCATCTGCTGTGCGTGTATGAAGTGTCTGATGGCTTGCATGAATTTTAAGTAGTCTTTTACTGCAGTAAAATCACAAGATCATCCAGAAAAACATTAATTTAGCTTTCTGTTATGTAGTGTACACCTTGACTCAGTTGTTGTTTCATAACTTTATCTGGAATACCAATGACTTTACTGAACCTCCCCGTCTTTTTCTAGTAGTTAATAAGATCTAAAGAGCAGTGTAATGAGAATAACTTAACAGTTCTAGATACGCAATCAGTATTTCGTGCAACTTTGGTCGTTAAAAAATACGTCATAAAATCATTCAAGATACTTCACAATCATCTCTGTAGTAGGTTGTGGATGTTTTCTGATCTATTGTCCAGAAGATTATCCTCAGAAGATAAAAGAAGTTTGAAGCCGGTGATGCTGCAATCACGATTTACAGATGAAGTATTAGGGATCGAACTGGTAAACTGGTCACTACTTGTGATGTAAGTGTATGTAATTATATTTCAGGTTGTTCCACAATAACGCAACAGTTGCATTCCTCAGGCGAAGCAAACATTATGTACAAATCCAGCAAAGCTACAAAAGGCACAAACAACTGATTTTTGAAAAATATAGTGAGCGCTTTGCGATGCTATGGTAGAGGAACGTCGACAATTTTTTCTGTAAATCGTCAATAACTAGGTAAAACTGCAGTTTATTTAACGCTTATCTTTGCATAGTCTTCTTTACGATATAAAGTATGGCAAGGAATATAGCAAAGTATGGAGACATTAAAGGGACTGTTTATTATGAGAGGTTCATTGTGGTTGTGTTTTTAGCTTCACTATATAAACAATTTGTAAGCTGATTTTTCTGCATTAAATGATGCTCTTCCTTTGCCAGCAGCAACGATGCGTCAATAAACTTCTGTCAAATTCTTCTCTTCATCGTCTTCGTAATTTTATGGGGAGGTATACCGATAATCTTGACGCGTAAATGTTTTTGAAGATTAGAAACAACCAAGTGTTTGCTTTATAAGTGCACGTTTGGTTATAAAAACTTGTAGTACTGCATCAGTTTAGAAGTTTCGCCAAAATGTTGCATTTCATATATAAGTTTCTTCGCTACGACAACATATTCAGACAAATGATAATAGGATTTATAGCACAAAAGACTGAGTACATTTGTCACATTTATATATGAATAATTCAGTAGATGAATAAACGTGGCCATAGTCTATAATAAAGACAGTTATAGTCAACTTGTAAATTGTCTGCTCACATAATTTTTCATATTCAAAAGATTTTCAAGTTGCTTGCCAGTATAGACTAGATTATTAGAAAGTTTTAGGCCCTTCAATTAGTTGATTAAAGCCATGAGTTGCATATCAGAAGACGTATGAATAGATTCTCAGCCTAATCAATGCCATTGTGAAAAACAACACATCAATGACGAAAAAAATAGTTTAACTTCGTCATCAGTATCAAATTCCATAAGTAAATGGAATAACAACTAACAGAATTCATCCTTAAGTGTCTTACTCCTAGAAGTTCACCTAGTCATTTAATATTTGCAAAGGAATTGCAGGCACCGAAAAATCTGATTCAAAAACTTTAAGTAGTATCATGAAATTTGAGAAGATTCGAATTGCAACGTTCATAATACTATTAGCAAATCACTGTTTACATACAATAATAAAATCATTAGATATCACTATTTAAATATTACTCATCAATACGCATCAGATATTCGTTTATAATTTGGTCAGTGATTACAGATTCTGTTCACAGAAATCTACTCGCAATCTCTATAAAGTGCACATCATAAATCCGTATTCACTAAGAACACAGTTCAGTTACCATGCTCAAAATAAACAAGCATCGTTTCACTTATGAAGAATATGTCGCTAATTAATGTGACACTTACAGTTATTTTACATAAAATTCCCGAACATGTTCAGAAAACAGACAAAAAAGGCTATCAACGTCAATTTTTACTCATATAATTTTTCATTCTCAGATACGTTACATAATAAAATGTCAGTTCTGTCAAAAATAGTGAATAGAAATGTTTGTGGTTGTATGCTTCCAACTTATATAGTGTTCAAAAATGGTTTAGCAAATAATTGCTTCAACCTACATTTAATAAACAACTACCAACATCAGTGTTCACCACTAATGTAATTATAATTAGCTAGTAATGAACATGGATGTTGGTTCGATCCGATTCACCTCCCTATATATATGAAGGTGAATCGAATGTTTCTGC